GTTTTAACACCTCTTCTGCTCTCCTTTTCCCTTTCTGATTATTATGTGCAATAATCAAAAGGACAAGGATTAAAAGGGAACATAATTTGAATGACATATTTTAAATGAACCATCTGGGAATAATACAGTTGTTCCTCATAGCAAACTACATGCAAAGCTATTTCCAAATATCTTCCTCAAAAGTCCTTGATTTTTTTAATCACATCACGGGTTTGTGCAAAAGGGCAAGAGGAGCTGATGCAGAATTGCATTTCTTGGAACAGCTTAGGCACTGGTCTGTCATCTGCCTGGGGAAGGCTGACAGCACAGTGCAGTCCTGCCAGGCTGGATCTTCAGCAGCTTACTTCCTTTGTCTTCCACCAGAAAGGGGATGAGAGAGCAGCTGAAGATGGGAGAGTACTCATGAACAGAAGAAATTTTCTCACTGCCCATTTCTTTAAGACCATTCAGTATTTATGCTGCTGAAGTTGGCATTGGTGGGCCACAGTCCCAGTGTGTTTAATCTCTTCCTTCTCATTGCTCATTGTACATAGAGCAACTCTTGTATGAAATCGCCCTATTTCATGTTCTGTTTTAAAGTGGCATCATGGAGGGAAGTGAATTGATACACTACCACTCAAAGAAAGGTAGAATCTGGCAATCACGAAAGAAAGCACAGGACCAACATCAGTTCAGTGATACACTCGTGGGCTCAGAGAGCTAAGAGAGGGATAACGCTAACAGTTACGATAAAAATACTAGCCTCCTCCTTCCTTGTCAGAGGACAGGAGTCCAAATATGCATTTTACTCTTTTGTAAAACAATTTTCATGCTTATCAGTCATTTTCCTTGTGCTCTTGCTCCCATTGCTCTCTTGACAGATGGCAAACCAGGACCAAGGACAGAAATGGGGTGCAGCCTCATCAGTGACAGGGGAAATGGTTTGCAGGTCGTTATCACTGCGCCATGCAGCATGATCTACAGGAGTTTGCCTCATGCAACACAAAACCAGTCCCTGTCTGATCAGACCGATGCAGGAGCCTGGGGTCCACAACAAAATCTTGTGGTCCAAACCTGAGGACCAGGAGAAATTTGTGTTCAGTATCATTATCCATGTCCCAAAAGCACGAGAGTCAAACAGAGAAAAGAGTGGAGCTGATACAATTCATTTACATTTTTCTGAATGGTTAGATATATGTATATATGATAGAAATCAGGGCTATTTACTGACAGAAACTTTCTCTTTTCCGGTGACAGCCTTAAAATTTTAGGAGTTGATTTCTTTCCCCAACGTATGTTTACGAGTACATACATAAGTTAAATGCACACTTTCAGATAGACTAAGCCATAAATAAATTAATAAAAACATTATTCTTTCAAACTGTATTTTGTGCCTATAAAACACTTCAAGATTTTTGAAAAACACAAAAATTGTTAAAAATTATGTTGGAAAGAATTTCTGCTTGGAAAAACAGTTAGAAGCAAATACTTCATGAAACTTTAAGAGAAGACTATTTGTTCGTGCCTAGACATAGAAGCAAAACTAAATGAAACATGGAACGAACAGGCAGGATTTTAAGTCATCTGGTTCTGAATATCCAAATCAAGACAGTTTTCGGCTTAATTATTCCATGCAGTTTTGCTTTCCACTATCATTTTTTTCAGGTGCAACTTCTGAGGGTTAAGTCAATTTTTATTTTATTTCTTAATAATGGTGTCAGAAGCCACCCCATTGCCCTCATTCACACAACTCTGTCCTGGCTCATATTCTTAAGGGTAACATGATACAGTCATATTGTATTTCCTCAGTAACTTCCTCTGAAAGTGCATATTATTCCTTTCACTTAACTAACGCAACTAATCCTCACTAATGACATTTAATGAGCCACACAAGTATGCCCTAGAGTGGATCACACTCTCTGCTTAAGAAACATAATTCTTTAACAGTCCTATTTTTTAACTGCACATTTTAAGAGAAAGTATAAATATCTCAGAGCCAAAATTTTTTTTTAAAAAAAGTTATAACAGGTTTCTAAATTTGAAATAAGGGCCTAAATAAGTGTCCTGTTAAAATATCCTTCTATTCAGATTGCTATACAGAAATCTTTGATTTAAGGTGTCCAGCTTGTGGGCATGGATAGCAATATTCCTTCCCTGCATATTTATTGTGCAAACCATAGGTAAAATTGTTATTACTTCTGCGTATATCTGTTTGCATTGCTGGAGCTCCTAAGACAAGCTAGTTATGGGCCAGGACCCCCACTTTGCTGCATGTTCTATAAACGTGCAGCACAGCATATATAAATGCTGCAGAGTTCATCATCTGAGCATAAAACAAGAGGTGAGAGAGAAACAGGCTGGTGGAGGAGACCAGAAAACAGGCAGCACTGTTCAACGTGACATGAAGGAGTCATAGCATATCAGCAGCCTCACTTTGCCAATTTTGGGGGGGTTTGTTTTTCTTGCGCTTTTTTCTAGACATCAAAGCAAAGGAGTTTTAATGAGGGTCTGAAGGAGAATAATGAGGTACTTTTGCAGATGTCTGCAGGGTGTTTCTCCTCACTCAAAGGGGCAACATGTACAAAGACACTTTGAAAAACAAGTGAGCGGTGGAGGTTGGCATCTTAGCTTTTTCGAAACGAAAGCCCTGATGCTGACCTCATTTACACTGGTGAAAGCTGTAACTCCTGTGAAGTCAATGAAGTCCCTGTAGCATAAAATTGGTCCGGGATTACAATCTGCCAGAACTGTCTTTCAGAAGCCTTGGCGACCACTGAAACCATATTCCAAAAATACTTTCAGCTCATTTTTGCATTTATTGTAAGGTCTCTTTACATCCTTCTGCCACTAAGGAGGGTCATGAAAGCGCATATTAGTTAACTGTTTGCAAAAAATCTGTAACTGAACTTAATGTAAACAAGAATCTGACCACTTTGGTTTTAGTATTGCAGATACACATGTGTGTATGTGTATATATGAACAAATATGCACATATATGTATATATACATATGTATACACACAGACACACACATATATATATATTCCTCTGCAGCCAGATATGGAGGGAGACAACTTTACATTCTGATTAGACAAGGTAATTTTATGTTAAGCAGTAGACATGTTATCTCCTTTCCCATTTTTTAAAATACCTCTCTGTCTGACTTACTTATAATTAATTTAACATATACATGTAAAAGAGAATCCCCCAGAACCAATGCTTCTACAACTTGTGCTAAAACTAGGCATGTCGCAGGAGACTTCAGGGAATTAAACTCTTAGTAGTCATTCGACTTTAGATGCCAAATTGTATCTAATTTTTCAGGACAGTCCTGAAAGCATCTGGAAGCCCAGGGATCACTAAATTAAGACTCAGCTCTCTGTGTCCATCATCTGCTCCATGTGAGCTACCTGAACTCAGGCTGAAGGCATACTGCCTGCCTATGCCTGTGGTATTTGATATCACAGCCCTTCTGCAGCAGATCTCAGGCTAACTTATTTACCAAGGATAGGTCGTGTGACACTTCTTGAAGGACAGAAACAACATACAGAATGAGGCACAAATGTCAGGATCTGACCACATGGCAGGTAAAGGCATCGTTCCCTTTGCTCTGACGTACTGGGATGTTCCCCCATGGAAGCGTCATCCTGGTAGCCCCAGAGCTGACCCAAGGGGCACTTACCAGGACATCTTTGTGGACTGGCTATGAACTGGACCTCGGGTTAGCTGTGGGGCTGCTCTTCATCATCGTGTTGATGCAGGCACTAAGCTATATTGTGCACCTCTGCTCACAGGGCTGACGTGCCATCAGGGCTGGCAGAGGGTTTCAGCACAGCGAGTTTGGGTTTTGGGAAGGGAGTTTCTGCACAGGTGAAGCCCTAGCTGCTTCCCTTCTCCTTAAGCTCCCACCACTGCTGCAGTTTTCTTCCCCCTTCCCCACCATTTCAGTTCGGTGGAAGAGCACCAGGGAAATCAAACAGCACTGCCTTACTTGGAAAGAGTATAGGAACTAAAAACTCAACACAAATTCAGTTCTGGGATCTAAGTATTGCAAAGGACACTGCAGGTAAAATATAGATTTGGTTCTGCAGAACTCCAACTGATTTATAGCAAATTTGGTGAGCAAAAAATTGAGAATCAGGTTTTCACAGGCAACCTTTTTTTGCTTACAGAAATAAGTTAAAAACAGAGTGGGAAGCCAAAAGATACTATTCCTGAGTGTTTCTCTTTATGTGGGGTTAAGTTATAACCACGGTCACTTTACTCTATAATAACATAGTACTGGCCTACATTTAATTAGAATAATATATAAGACAAATTCTATATATCTTTTTTCTTTAATACATTACCAATTCTGCCTTAAAAATTATTATTCATTTCACCGTTTGTGAAACAGAAACATCAGCCAGTGACAGGAAAAAGGAATTATTACCCTGATATACAACTTGCAGAATAGCCCAACAACTTCCAGAAAAGTTTGTACCAGCTATTCTAATTGCAATCCTTTCCTGAGTTACCAGCTTCCTGAACCACCAGTGCCATTTCTGGTTTAATAATTGCATGTAGAGAATGAACCATGAAATAAATCTTGTGAAAACCCAGGATTTGTTTTGCTTTTAAATTTTTGTTGACTTACCAAGGAAGTGGATGTAAAGTGTTTTAACTGTACAGCTACCTCAGTCTGGAGCAAAGCTCTTACTGATGTCAGCTCAATTTATATCCTATAGAGATCAAAATTGGTACACAGCCCATAATTCATAGACCCTTGCACTAATTTTCAAATGAGTGGCATGCATGCCTTATATTACAACTATGATCCTAACCAATCTATCTGCAGAAAACTACTGGCTGATATATACAAGAGCTTTACTGAAAATAAGTCTTAGTCTAATTTATCATTTAAAAAAATAATAAAAAACAGAACAAAACAGCATGGGCAGTCTTAGCTCTAGCAAGCACACCCAGAAAGTTAGAATTAGCCATCTATATTGTAAATTATGAAAAGTTAAGGTGTAACCTCACCTGCTTTGTGTTGTCTTTAAGCAGCCTTTAAGATGTCTATCAGTAACCTCTTTGTGTGGTTTATTATCCAACTTGGCCACAGTTTCTTTCTTGTGACAAATCAGTGTGTAATTTTTGTCATCGTTGTTTGCCCAGAAGGTACCAACCGATGTCTCATAGCGTATACAGAACTCCACCTTAGCTCCATCTTTCTGGTAAGGAGGCACCAAAGAAATCTTGAAGCAGAACTGATCGGTTTCACTACCACAAGAATTAGGCATGAACTCTGCAAGGATGTCATAATAACTGAGCCAGTTATTCAGTGTCATTCGAACATACACCAGTTTTTCAAAGGATACATTGAGGACTCGTATAATGCCATTCATACAGGTAATGCCAGGCAGGAACACGATTGACTCCAGCAGCACTTTCTGCTCTCGTACTTTTTGCAAAAGTTCTTCTTGCGAAGCAGGTAACGTAAACAGTTGAGAGAAAAAATACTCCTCCTGAGGGAAAACTTCATCTTCTATGTCATTGTTTTGTCCTGTATTTGGAACTTCCCAGGTATCAAACTCTTTAACGGACACAAGATCAAACCCAAATGCATCAGCAAATGAAACTTTCCTTGCAACGGTGGTGGGGGTATCTGCCTCCTCTTCCTCTGAAGAAGCAGAATTCCGCCTTCGAGGAAGTGGAGAGAAACGATGTTTAATGTCAGGTTTAACATCTTCATCCTCTGAAGAGAAATCATTTACAGTGGGAACTTCTAATAAGTTAGCCCTGCTAACCCGACTAGGTTCTTCAAAAGACTCCATTGGGCTCTCCGATATAAACTGAAAGAGAACTGTACAACTAGTAGCAGCTGATATTTGAGACACTGTGATTTAAAACAAGGATTAATGTTGCAGTTGACATTGCAAAAGGGAGTCAGGCCTATTAATAGATGCTATGGTGTGTCAGCTATGTTGGCCTGTTCTCCATCTGACAGTATTAGGTGTTATAATTTCAACAGTACATTTCAAATATTGCATTGTTAAACTGCACAAATGAGCTGGTTTTAGATGGTCAACTTATGTTGCACAACAAATTCATTACATTGCACAAATGAAGATCTATTCATCTCTGATTAGGAAGTACACTTCCTCAGGTAAATAGTTTCTATATTGAAAACTATTCCTGTATATATTTTCAAGGCCATTTTTTCACAATGTTTTCAGATATAAAAGTGCGATGTCACATTCTGCCCCAGCTTTACACTATGTTAACTCAGCGGGCCAGATCCTGGGACTATGTCAGCATTTTCTAGGTAATGATTAGCCATCACAACATCAATGAACCAGGAATGCTATAAAACATTGAAGTGAGTATGCCGGAGATGAACTTGTAATGCACAATTGTAAATATGACTGAATTCACCACTAATTAGATTATGAAACCATCTAGTGCTAGACTGCATTTAGCGTCATCCAGCCAAACGGAGAGAAAAGCAACTTGCAGAATTAACTTGTGCAGCCAACCCTGAAACACAAACCCTGTGCCACACAGCTATAAACAAGAGGAAGAAACACAGTGCACTTTTTAAAGGTTTTTCAACCTTTGTGCAGGACATGATATAAAATGAAACTGTGGCTTCTCAATCAAGTTAATCAGCTAGCATTTGGCTTTTACTTTTATGGCACTCCAAGCATGGAAAGACGCAGTCTTTATGGAACAAAGATCATGAACTCAAACTGTCACCTTTTTCCTTCATATTATTTGACCTCTTCTGTTTCCCCCATGTCTGTCTCAAAGGGTAAGCCTACACTATCATCTAATGCCGCAGTACGAGTTAAGACTTGCTTAGAATTAGCTATGTCAGAGACTGACAGCATTAGTGGCATCCTCATGGATCTCAGCACAGGCTAGAAACTTAATTCTTCATTCACACTTTTAAATGGCTCAGGTCTTGCAGGCACCTTTGAATCCTTCTCCCTGTTGTTACACTGCCACTGGTAACTTTAAAGCTGACTTGTGTATGTCTATTACCACACAACAAGGTAAACCAGATCTTACCATGATGATGAGGCATCCGCCCACACCATGAGAGCATCACCAGGTCTTTCCAATGTTTCTTTATCTTAACCTCTCAATAGCCATCTGACCTGCTATTGTAAAACCATTCATACTTCCGTAGCACCACCACACTTTGAGACAACGGCATGTAAGAGAGATTTATAAAATAGCTTTCTACCACAAACTACATAACCCTACCACAGCCAATAAACTTCTGGGATATTACTGATTTTGAACCAGTACTGTACAATGCTGTATTTTTCAACAAAGGCCAACAGTAAAAGCATTCAAGATTTCATGTTTAAAGATAGATGGGAGTGATACCCAGCCACGTATTTATGAATGTCTATGAAAGGAGTGAGATCTCCAGAGCTTCCCCCACAGAATAGTCCAAAGGTTCTCTGACTCAGTGGGATGCCAGGAGCACCACTTGTGCCTGCTCCCGCTTACTGCTCTGCACATACCTGCAGAGCTAATTTGCTGCATGCATGTTTTGGCATTGTATCGCGTGAATTAGGTAGTTTGGGAAATGAAACTTCTTGCTCTAATGGCAATCAATTTCTTCTGTCAACATAATCTAAGAAAATATTACTGTAGCAATTATTGAAACAAGGAGAACTTACTTATGACACTGTTACCCTCATAGTTACACCTCTTTCTGTGAAAAGTCATTTCCCCTTTTTCATTCTGCCTGTTTCATTACAAAAAGCTGCACAGACAAATGCAAATGGGAAGGTAGCTTCCCTAGTGGACTCTGGCAGGTCATGGAGGTAAGAGGTGCAGGAAGGAGGAGGGCAGCCCACCGACTGCACTCAGGGGAACGAAGGGTGTATCTCAGACCAAGGAGCGCTTTGGGAATGGGTTCATTTCTAGTTGAAAATGGAAGGAGAAAAGCAGAAAAAGAAATCCCATGGAAACTAGTGTTGCTGCTAGACTGTATGAAAACAGATTAAAATTCAGTTAAAGAGGGGTTTGATTATTTTTTATTGTAATTTTTGTTTTCTTAATGATTGCTGAAACAAAACAGTGCTCCGTCTTGGCCCAGTCCAGCACCAGTTCAGTCAAGGAGAACCTTTCCATTTGCTTTAGCAGGTACTAGCTTAGATATTCTGCCCAAGCCATCCCACAGATCACTACATGCCATGACAAGGGCGATGTTCTGAAAACATATATTCAAAAAGATGTATTAAAATATTAATTTTTTAGACCAAGCAATATCAGTGACTTTAATTGACTCAGATTATTCTATGCACCTCTAACTGTCTTGCCATTCACCAAGTTAAAATCCTTTACTTCCATCCTGGATGTAAAGAAACATAGGAGCTAGCAAACAAAGGGTTATTTAGCAGTTTAGCCTAAGTGCTACCACTGAGTGACAAAGTCTTCAGTCTTGCACCATTGTCTAGAGGGAAGCAGCATGTACTTAGTAAGGTCAGTTAAAATAAGAAACAGGAAAATGTTGTATAAAGAAATAAACAATATGAAAGAGGGAAAAGATTCTGCCTTCGCACAAAAAAGAAATACCCGTGGTTATAAGAGTGGAGACCAACAAGCATAGCTGAGAACAGAGGAAGGCCACACTCTTGCAGAAAGCAATTTCCTATCCATAAACTTCATCTTCTTCAGCACAGAGGGGTAGAGGTTTATGTCTGTTCTCTGCCTGATTTAGGACTTGCCTCGACATTTTATACTAGGTTAAATTTCTCATAGCAGTGCAAGTATTGTGTCAAAAGTGTGCATAGAGTTACAAAAAGCAAGCATCGTTATATGTATATAAGAATTGCATTAATGTTGTGAAAATATTGTAATAAAAAATAATATTGTTTGTTCTCTGCATCTTGCAAAACTGTGCCAAAAAATACCTAAATGAGACAACGGAGTAACTATTCCCTTTCCGACTGTAACAGTAACAGATAATTTTAGAACACTTTAATGGGGGGACAACTCTAGTCACTTTTCTAAAGCCTCATCTTCCTTGCTCTTTTTGAACCCAAAAAATTCAAACGTTGAATCAAGACAAATGGTTTCCAGGTGTTCTTAGACACTGTTTAAGTGACAGTGGAAATAAAAGGTACAATTGAGGAAGACTGTGTGGAAAATAAGACAGGTCTATATGGGATACCTTCTCTATTGAACAGCATAGTAAACATTCGAGGGAAGAACATCACAGAGTTAGCAGGCTTGGGACTTAAATAAACACACAGCAGAGCAACAAAAGCAATAGCCAAATACACCTTTAATTAAAAAACACTCACACCTGCCAATGGCTTTGGCATACTTATTATTAGCACTGGCCAGCTGATCTTTCTTGGCCTTAACTGGAAGGAGGGAGAATATACCTTTCTGTGTCAACTGAAAAACAATTACTTCTTAAGCATGGACTAAAGGTGAGCAGTACAAAATCTGGTTCCACTTGGCTTCCTAACAGTGTATTCCCTAGTGCCCTAGAAAACTGCACTTCTTCAGCTGAGAGTATGAGATGTATTACTAACTTCACTGCTATTAGAAAAAATCTATTAGGATAAGGCATAAAACCATTTTTTTCTTGCAGAGAACACTATTCTAACTGGCTGTTAAATGGTCAAAAGTGCTGAACAAGAGGTAGAAGAAAGATTTTAAAGGTTATATCCTTTAGAAAAAAACATCGCTGGCATATTACGAGAGGTATTTTGAAACAGCAATTTGTTCTTAAAGAATATAGAGCTAAGGAAGAAAGCACAGCATTTCACTTAAGGCAGATATTCTCTCTAAATTCCATATGAATTAAGTTAGATATCAGTAATAAAGACTGAGTGAGGACAAAAAGCTGCCCTCAATTGTTTTCTACTTTTACTTACAGATTGTATGCCCTGCCAGAATTTTTTTACGAAACTTTTTCCTATGACAGCAACCAGTCTACCCTGTGACCAGGAGTAGAAACCAGCTCACTTTAAAATTTGTGCTGTTTTCACAGTGCCAAGTGGAAAAATTGCAGTCTGTAAATACAAAAAAAAAAGGAAACATTAGTATTTTTGTAATATTGATACAATTACAGCTAAGTCACTGAGAAAGCTCTCTTTAACCTACACTGATGACAGACAGTCAAACACTGACAGAGGAAAAAACAGTCTTTGCACAGTGAAAATTCAGGACAGATTACATTACTGTAACAGAATTTCCAAACACTCTGGTTTCCCCATTCATCTTTTCAAGAACTTTTAATTTATTGACAAATCAAAATGAAAAGCAATTTAACTGGTCAGGCTCATAAAGCTAGCCCCTTCTTTGTTGTGGTGCTTTGTGGGAAATCTCAAATTTCTAACCATCCAATGTTTTAGGAGCATTGTAGAAATGTAGCTACTTTAATAAGGAATGTGCAGATATTGGAAGAAGAATCTGCTTCCCTAAGTTGGAAGTATATTCTTACTGTATAGTAGGAGTAGGCAGTATGCTTTCCCTGCCACTGAGTCTTCTTTTCAGATAAAACAGGACATTGAGCCAGTGAAGCTGTTCTCCTTCTAATGTAAAAGCTTTGCAGACATTTCAGGCAGTGTCAAGAAGATTCTCACAAAGAATGATGATAAAACAGGGAAATTGCCTTACATTTTTAGAAGGAACCTTGATTTGAGGAAAGAGAGATTTTCACCCTTTCACCTTTAAAGATAGGACTCAGAGTAAAACAAAAGTTAATTCCAGAAATAATGTGGAGAAAGGAAGAACAAACAAGATGCCCAGAAGTATGGGATGAATATTTTCCTTGAGGGCATATCTGAAAAAAAAAAGA